TGACCAGCACCCCCTGGTGGTTAACAGAGGAAGAGCCCAGGCACACAATAACCATTGCACCCTGACCAGCACCCCCTGGTGGTTAATGGGGGAAAATCCAGACACAGAAGAAGCATCATGCCCAGGCCACCCAGGCAAAACCAGGAATTTAACCCAGAGCCAGAGTGCTTCACCCTTACTTCTCTTGCTCCTTGGGCGAGTTCCCGCTACTCCTGCATTCCCATCACTGGTCCTCAGGGCCCAGTGACACCCCACCTGAACCCTTACTCCAGGTTTTCTGAATGTTAGCACCAGAGTCCTGCCCCCTCTTCCTTCCACCAGCTGCCCTGTGCACAACTGGTTCTTAGATGACAGCTGAACAAGCCCTGGCACTCACCTGGCATTGACAGGTGTGCTTGGGTTGAAGAACTCCTGGGTCACCAGGGTGGCATACCATGAGACAGCCGTCAGTGTGCAGAGGCCTAAGGACAAAGGAGGGGGTGCTCAGCTCTGTTCTGTCATTCACAGTTGGGGCTGCCTGCCACCAAGGTGGTGAAGAGATGGGGGAGGGGCACTCACCGGCAAGGAGGAAGAGGGCACCCCCGGAGATGGCTACGCGTCCCTTGGCAATGGGGTTGCTGTCTCCAACCCGGGTACACTTCATACCCACCACACTGAGGACCATGGCCACGAAGCCCAGGAGCACGGCCACCACCATCAGGGCTCTTGCTGACTGGATGTGACCTGGGGTGGGTGGAAAGGCACCAAGTGAGCTCCTCACTTGTAGCAGGAGTGGGGAATCCCAGAGTCAGGCTCGGGGTGGGTGGGTGGCAGGCCACCAAGGGAGAGTCCTGAGCAGGAGCTGACCAGATGCCAGACCCTTGCAGAACAGGTGTGAGGAGATAAAGAGGGGTTCTGTGTATAAGGACAAGGGTGAGGACAGGCATTGTGTGTATGGGGGTGTGTAGATGATTCTCCTTCACAGTTAATCCTTCATTTTATTTCCATGTAGACAACTGGGGTGTTGGTGGACCCGTTAGTCCCCATAAGACATCAAGCGCCCACCATTAGCATCTCTGCCACGTAGCAGGAAGGTCCTATTGATTGCTCTTTTAGTGCACATTGTCATCGGGTGAGGCCTGTGTAACTGTGAATTGAAGGAATGGGCCTCATCTAACCAATACTAGCAGCAAGGACCCTAGGGACCTATATGCTCCACTATCGCGCTGCACAATGCTTTCTAGCCCAGGGACAGCCTCTTCTGCCTGGCCTGACCCTCCCAAGTGCCTGGGGTAGCTTTTCCTGAGGTCCCTGTGGGTTCTACAGAGAGAACTGAGGGTGTCTGAGGCCCAGTTTAACCCTCTGTCTGGGATCCCTCCCCTCAGCCATCTGACTCTCATTACTTTCCTCTCTTCTCCTTGAGTTACCTGCACTTACCTGCCATGTCTCTACCTCCTCTGTAGGTGCTTGGGTCAGCCCTGGGCCCCATGGGCCTGCCTCCGATAGGTGCCATTAGGTAGGGCTTGTGGTGGTTTATGGTGGCTCAAGCTGCTTGCAGAGCTCTGGGCAGGATGAGAATGGGTCCATGTCCCCACACCGGGGTTAGAGGCTGCAGGGGCCCTTTTATAAGCCAACTTTCAGTCTCAAATCCATAGTGTGGGAGGAGGGGCCTGTGTATCCAAGCATGTGTGTGTGTGTGTGTGTGTGTGTGTGTGTGTGTGTGTGTGCTGGTTACTGGTAAATAGGTATGCATAACCATGAGCCCATAGGGAAGATGGGAGAGGTAGAAGCGAGGTCTTTTCTAAGTGCCAGATGTTTTAACTCCACCCTGCCATAGCGCCCTGAAGGTCTTAGTACCCCTCTTACAATGAGGACAGAGGGACACAAAGAACGTAGTGACTAGTTCAAGGTTAGAAAGGCAAGCAGCAATCTAGGCCCATGGCTGCCCGGCCCACGGTGGTGGACCAGGCTGGCCAGGGCTTTTTGAACATGCACAAGGGTGACAGTGGGGGGGACTATGGAGGTGAGACTAGAGAGTGGAGCCCAGACTGATGCAGACGGCAGGGGAAGCTGGTTCTAGGCATCCCAGTACTTCATGTTCCATCCCAGACAGCCCAAACCACCAGCCAGAGTTTATTCCCTACCCATCTGAGGCCCATCGCCCCAGGAGGCCTACTCCCCATCCAGCTTGTCCATGCCTACTGCCAAGAGGCTGGCCCCCACATCCAGCTTGTTGAGCTTTATGGTCCCGGGTGGCCCCAGAGGCCACCCTGTCCACTTAACTCATCAAGCACAGATCATCCCCCTAAACTGACCAGCCAAGGCCCCCTTCCCAGGATGTCCTGCCTCACACGCAGGTGACCAAGGCCTACCGTCCAGGGCGAGCAGGGAGTCGTAGAGCTTGCACTGCACCTGCCCGGTGCTCTGGGAGGCGCAGGACATCCACAGCCCCTCATAGAGGCCCACGGCGGTGATGATGGCGTCGCCGGCATAGGACGACTGCTTCCACTGTGGCAAGGCCGTGCTGGCGATGATGCCCACCCAGCCCCCCAGGGCTAGGAAGTAGCCCAGGAGCTGGAGGCCTGAGTTGGCCATGGCCCAAGCAAGGGTCCTCGGGGTCCCAGGGCTCAGAGCTAGGCCAGGGTCCTTGGGCAGGTCATGGCAGGCTGTGAGGGCAGGGGGCAAGAGGTGTGTGGCCCAAGGCAGAGGAGAGGTCGTAGCTGTGGGGGCCGGTGGCTGGTGGCCGGCAGTGGCTCTCGTTCCAGAATGCAGGGAGAGGCTGGAGTGGGAAAAGCCAGGGTCCCGCCCACAGCCAGGGCTGGGTCCCCAACAAAGCTCAGGTCCAGCCCCCTGGAGGTGGGGGTGGGGCCCAAGGCCCAGGAGGGTACCCTGCTCTTGCCTTCAGAGAATGGGAAGGGGGTGCTGGGAGGAGTACCTGCCCTCAGAGTCCGCTCAGGGAAACCCCTTGAGCCTGAGCCAAATGCCCTGAAATTCTCAGGATCCCCACTCCAAGCTCCAGCCCTGAGATGGTGGACTTTGCTCTTTTGAGGCTGATCTGACCCTTGGGTGCCCTTCTGTTCTCTGACTTTAGGAAAGAAAGGAAAATGATTTCCAGTTTGGAGCAGGTAAGACCAGAGTCAGACATCAGGGAGAACTTTTTGGCATGAAGTCTGAAGCCCGATGTAAAGACGGGACAGGGAAGAGGCTGTTGGGACAAGGGGGTTTCCTGCCTATCAGGAACAGGGAAGGTCAGACCAGGAGACATGCACGGTGGGGTCTGTTTGATATCTGGGTCCCCCTCAAGACTGAGCTACACTGGCTGCCAGTCGGCAGGGGGCCTGGTAGGGAGGTGGGGAGACAGCGTGGACCTGGCATTAGCCTGAAGGGTTGCTTAATCTCTTGCTGGCTGATTTAGCAGCGCCTGCTGGGACCTGGGGCACCGTGGACCTGGCTCCCAGCTCCAGAACAGCCTGGCAGGGAATAACAGCCTCTGCACATTCCTGGGGTTCAGGCTGCTTCCTCTTGGTGCCCCCCCCTTCTCTAGCTCAGCCTTGGGAGCAGGGGAATGTTTAACTCTCCTCCATCTCATTAGCAATCCCCTCACGTTCAGCCCCATGGCCTCCCAGCGTGGGTGCAGGAGGAATGTCACAATCCTGCTCCCACCACCACTGGCCCGACCGGCCGCCCCCTCTCTCCCCAGAAGCCCACTCACCATTCCTGGGCTGCACTGGGGGAAGGTAGGGTCCAGTGCGACCCTGACCAGCCTCCCTCCCTCCCCCGTGCGCCAACCCCTCTCTGCAGGGACAAGTCCTCAGCCTGCTCCCTAGAATTCTTCACGTGGCTATGCAAACGAGAAAGTGCCAGGGGCTGCACAGACAATGGCAGCCCTGTGTGTCCACCCAAGGCGTGGGCCCGTGGTATGGCCTGCAGCCTGGGAGGGGCTGCCCTCTGATGGGTCAAGGGTGAGTGCTGTTTGGCCTTCAGTCCCCCGGTTCTGCACTCTGGGCCTTTCTGGGGGAAGGGTGACCTGAGACATATGGTTCTGTGGACACACATACCTGTTTCCCAGGATGGCCTTTGAGTCCCCAAATTAAATAGGGTCTGAATAGGTGTAGAGAAATCAGTCATGAGTTAAAATCCTTCTGTCACAGATAGTGTGCTTGGGAGTGGGGGTAGGGAACGAGAACTCAGAACCAGGAGATGGTAACACAAGGAACCCTTGTGGGTGTGGTAGGGACCCGTCACCTGCCCCCGCTCCATAGTTTTTACATATAACTTCATCAGATCTTCAGGGCAGGTCTCCGAGGGAGGTAGACATCTCTGCAGACAAGAAAACTGAGGCTGATGAAGGCAGCTTGCCTAAAGCTAGGATGGACAGGGGCCGGCTTCCTTTAGATCTTTCTGAGAGAGGTGTGGAAGTGACAGGGGCCCGAGCTGACTGTGGCCTCAATTTCCTCTCTGATGAGGATGTCTTCTTCACACCAAGCTCATCATGATCTGAGAGAAAGCAGGGTGCCCAGCACATGGCAGCGCTTAGCATGTTGCTTCCCAAAGAGCTGATGTCCCTTCTCTCCCAGCTTGCGCCCTTCTCCCCACTTTCAGGGGAGCTCTCACTTCTTAAGGAAGATTCAGGTCTTCAAGAAAGACCTAGGTCTGGTCTCTGTGCTCTGAAGCCTCGATATGCTCAGCACCACCCAAAATCAAGGGTCAGAGCTGCAACCCCACATGCTGACAAGTGAGGAAGTGAGCTGTTGAGTCACAGAGTCCTCAGGGCCAGGTTTGGGGTGCCTGCTGGCCTCCTCTATCCTGTCTGTCTCCAAGAGCCACTTTGTGATCCAGAATAATGTTCATATCTCTCTCCTCAGGCTCTTCTGTTTATCCCATCTGTTACTTAAAGTTTGGAGTCTGTTCTGTCAAAATTGTCTCTCTTATGACATGGTGGGCTCTTTCCACTGTTCCAAAGCCTCTGGAATTCAGATCTGTTACCTCCTGGTGCAGATGCTTAGCCTTGTCTAACTTCTCTGCCCAGTGACTTCTCTGCACTCTGTCAGCCCTGGTGGCCCCTTGCAGCCCAGTGACTCCCAGGCATGTAGGGAGAGCAGGAAGGCCCAGGGTCCCTGGAAACTGCCTTGGGGTGTCACACTTCACCAAAACTGCTTTCACATACATGACAAGGAGGCAAGTCATCACTCTGTCACTAAAAAGCTGTGACATTTGGCAAGTTCCTTAGCGTTCCTGGGTCCTGGTTCCGGTAAGGTTATATTCTCGCATGTCTACCGTGTAGTAGGCACCTGACCAGGTGCTTTTTGAGCATCCTCCCTGCCCCCCAATGCTCTTAATCACCCTGGGAGGGAAGGACCGTTATCCCATTTGACCCATGAGGAAACATACCCACTGAAGAGCATACAATTCAAAGTGATGGAGGTGAGTCTCACCCAGCTCAGCATGTTGCTCTAGTTCAAATGCCCCTCATTTAGACTCCTCAGTTCTCTTTGTGTAAGATGAGTGTCATCAGACAGGACAGCGGAGAGTGGTAATGACAATGGAGTAAACAGAGTCCAGGTGGTACAGTGGCTAAAGCGCTGTGCTGCTAACTGGAGGGCCAGTTGTTGGAAGCCATAAGCTGCTCCACGGGAGGATGAGGTCAGCCTTTGCACAGCCTTGGAAACCCTATGAAGCTGTCCTGCTGTCCTACAGGGTGGCTGTGAGTCTGAATCGACTTGACTCCGTGGGTCTGGTTTGGTTTTAGTCATTTGGTTCAGCACTAATTTGCTCCCATCTTGGGGGAAAAGAAATAAAATCCTTTCTCGACTTCACATCTCCCTCCAGTTCATTCTTCTATGCCCTTTTGAGTAGTCCAGGCACCGCCCCCCATTTTTCTGTTCTCACATGAGTTCACTGCAGCCACTCCTCTCTGCACCAGTTCACCAAAGCAGCTCTTGCCAAAGTTCCCAGAAACCTCCACACTGTCAAGCCCAGCTGGGAACTCAGTGTTCTTTCCTTGTCCAACCTCTCAGAAGTTCCTGACCCCTTTGCTCTGCCTCCTTGAAATGCTCTCATGGCTCCAGGACACCCTGGTCCCACCATGTTGGAGTCCTGTTAGCTTCCTCTCCTTCTGGCCCTCCAGTCTTCTCACTTCTCTGATACCTCCTCCTTATCTCCGGGCTTTGACCACCATTTATATCATCATGTGATGAGGGTCTCCCACAGTTACGTCTCCCACTGGGACTTCTTTCTCCCTGAACATCACTCATACTTGACTCTATGGTATTCAATATGTCTAACAGGTTTCTCAAGCTTAAACTCAACATGCCTAAAATCTAACTTCTGAGTTCTACATCCCATCAACCAATCCCCCTCAGACTTCCCCATCACAAGAAAAGGCAGCATTTCTTCTAATTCTTAAGCTCGAGTGTGATGGTTTTTACACACACACACACACACACACACACACACACACTGCCCCGTGTCCAATCCTCCAGCAACTCCCATTGACTTTACCATCTTTGACACTAACGTGACTGCTGACGCCCTGATCTTCACCTCTCGTGGATGTGTGCAGTCAACTCCTCACTGGTCTCCTAGCCTCTGTTCTTGCCCCATAGCCCATTTTCATGTAAAATTGTCCAGCAAGGTTTTTAAAATGTTAAGCCAGGTATTGTCACTCTTCTGCTCAAAACCTTTTAGGGAAGCCTGTCTTGTTCAGAGTAAAAAGCCGAGCCCTCACAGAGGCTGACAAGACTGTGGCTCTGTCTGGCCACCCCTGCACCACCACACCGGCCTTCCTGCCATCCTCCTGCCTCAAAGCCCCGTTTTATGTCCTTATTTCCCACCACAGAGACCCTTTTCTCAGATAGCTGCATGCTTGTGTCAATTTCTCCATGTCTTACTGTAACATTCTTACTACAGGTCTTTGCTGTTATCAAGTTGCCTCACCTCATGGCAGCCCCATCAGTGGGATCTGACTGCTGTGATCCATAGCATTGCCACGATCTGATTTTTAGAAGTAGCTCACCACGCCTTTCTTCCTAGCCCACTTTAGCCTGAGTGCCACTGGAACCTGCTCATAACAGCAGCATGCAAGCCTCCACTGGTGGATGGTGAGGGTGCACGAGGTTCAGCCAGGTGGAGAATCAATCCCAGGTTAACCCTGGTGGCAGGTGACAATTCTACCACTGAACCACGACATCCCTTTATTAAAATCTTACCATAAATTCACAAATAAAATAGGCAAAACTTCCCTGGTATTCCCAATCGCTCTTATCAGAACTTTTTCCTACATGATGCATTCAAATCTCATTGCCCTTTGGTCAGAACCAACTCATAGCCGGCCCTCCAGTGGATTTCTGAAGCTGTAAACGGCACCTGAGAAGGCTGCTCATCCTTCTTCCAGGGTTGCTGGTGGGTTCGAACTGCCTGAGTGTCCTGGTGTTTGGGTTAGGTAACTCCCTACAGGACGAGACGAGGCCACCAGAGTTCACACAGGTATGGATATGTATGTATGCGCGTGCGCGCGCACGCACACACACACACACACACACACACACACACACTCTTATTATTATATCTTCCTTATTAAAATACAAGCTTTAGGA